GTGACTATAGCACCGCCATATCGCACCAAAATGGGTCCGCAAATAAGGTTAGGAATATATGTTGGGTTTGAATCGCCCTCCATTATTCGCTACCTCGAAACATTGGCGGGGGATTTGTTTACTGCACGATTTGCAGACTGTCGATTCGATGAGACACTTTTCCCAAAATTAGGGGGAGAAGTTGGTGAAACCAAACAAAAAATTTTGTGGAAAAATCCATCATTATCTCATCTTGATCCACGTGCCTCTATTTGTGAAAAAGAGGTGCAAAAGATTATCCATTTACAGAGAATAACAAATCAAATGCCAGACGCATTTACGGATTTGAAAAGAATAACAAAATCACATATCCCTGCAGAGAATGTTCCAATCCATATTGATGTCCTATTGGACAATCTTCTAGTGTCATAACTAATGAGTCAAAAGCACGCCTAAAACGTGGCAGACCATTAGGTTCAAAAGATCAAAATCCTAGAAAAAGGAAAACAAATGATCAAAATGACACTACGAAAGAATCTTATGAAGAAATCCACGATTTAATAGATTCTGAGATTCATGAGGAATCCACTGAGCCCGAGGCTCAAGAAAATAAGGAACTATCAATAAATCCAATCGATATTGAGACAAATTTGAATCGAGTGGATATAGTGGTGGATTATGTCTTTGCATATAATGTTGCATCTAGCATTATGCAAGAAAGTGAGGATCTTGAACCTCAATCTGTTGGAGAATGTCGACAAAGACTTGATTGGCCAAAATGGCAAGAAGCAATCCAATCAGAGTTGAATTCACTTGCAAAACGTGAAGTTTTTGGGCCTGTAGTCCAAACACCTAATGGTGTTAAGCCTGTTGGCTATAAATGGGTCTTTGTACGCAAGAGAAACGAGAAAAACGAGGTACAAAGATATAAGGCACGCCTTGTTGCACAAGGATTTTCACAAAGGCCTGGTGTCGATTATGAAGAGACATATTCACCCGTTATGGATGCTATAACTTTTCGTTATCTCATTAGTTTTGCTGTCCATGAAAAGCTTGACATGCATTTAATGGATGTGATTATCGCCTACTTTTATGGCTCACTTGATAATGAGATATACATGAAAATGTCTGATGGATTTAAAATGCCAAACACACATAATTCAAAGTCCCGGAAAATGTTTTCAATCAAATTGCAAAGATCTTTGTATGGTCTAAATCAATCAGGACGAATATAGTATAATCGTCTTAGTGAGTATTTATTAAAGGAAGGCTATATAAATGATGCTATTTGCCCATGTGTTTTTATAAAGAAAACAACATCGGAATTTGTTGTACTTGTCGTATATGTTGATGACATAAACCTTATTGGAACTCCTATAGAACGCCAAAAGGCAATTGATTGTTTAAAGAAGGAATTCGAGATGAAAGATCTCGAAAAGTCAAAATTATGTCTTGGTTTGCAAATTGAACATTTGGCAAACAGAATTTTTGTTCATCAATCTGCCTACATAGAAAAGGTATTGAAACGGTTTTACATGGATGGAGCACATCCATTAAGTACTCCGATGGTTGTTCGATCACTTGATGTGAATAAGGATCCATTCCGACCTCAAGAAGAGAATGAAGAGCTACTTGGTCCTGAAGTACCATATCTTAGTGCAATTGGTGCACTAATGTATCTTGCCAAAACTACAAGGCCTGACATAACTTTTTCAGTTAATGTCTTAGCAAGATATAACTCTGTTCCCACAAGGAGACATTGGAATGGAATCAAACACATATTGCGGTATCTAAAAGGGACTACCGATATGGGCTTATTTTATGGAAATAATTGCAGTCCTGATCTTGTTGGTTATGCGGATGCTGGGTATTTATCCGATCCACACAAGGCTCGATCTCAAACAGGTTATGTGTTTACCTGTGGAGGCACTGTCATATCTTGGCGATCGACTAAGCAATAAATTGTGGCTACTTCATCTAATCATGCTGAGATAATTGCTATTCATGAAGCAAGTCGAGAGTGTGTGTGGTTGAGGTCTATAATACATCTTATTCGAGACAAATGTGGATTGAAATGTGACAAACTACCCGCGATTTTGTATGAAGACAATGCAGCATGCATAACCCAATTGAAGGGAGGATTCATAAAAGGAGATAGAATAAAGCACATTTCACCAAAGTTATTTTTCACACATGATCTTCAAAAGAATGGTGATATCAATGTGCAACAGATTCGTTCAAGTGATAATATGGCTAATTTGTTCACAAAATCTTTACCAACGTCAACCTTCAAGAAGCTAGTGTACAAGATCGGGATGCGATGGCTCAAAGATGTGAATTGATGCTCTCATAAGGGGGAGTTAATGCGTGTTGCACTCTTTTTCTCTTACAAGGTTTTGTCCCACTGGGTTTTCCTTGAAAGGTTTTTAACGAGGCAACCAAAATGCATATTATTAGAGATGTGTACTCTTTTTCCTTTTCTAAATTTTTTTTCCATTGGGTTTTATTTTAGTTAAGATTTTCACGAGGCACATTACTTATCGAGTAGACATTCAAAGGGGAGTGTTATAAATAGAATTCTATTTATGGTGAATGTCCATATTTAGAGAGATTTTAGGGTTTATTACTTAGTGGCTAAGTCAACCTCTCCCTATAAATAGAGGGTTTTATTCCATTGTAATGCATCCCAAAATTCAATAAGAATTTCCTCTCTCTCTTTCTCCGCAATATTGTTCTTCTACTTTTATTGTTTCATAACAAGCACCTAACTATTAAAATTTTGAAAATACTTCTGTTTTGGAAAAAATATTTTGGCAAATTTATAGTGCATAAATTATGGGTTTTATCGGTACCCTATAATTTTGGCTCAGATTATATATAACAAAATTTTAAATCCGGTAAATTAAAATGTTGTGGCAGATTTTGAACTCACATTTAGTTACGGTACGACATTTAGATATTCGATTTGATTTTTTACCGTATCTAATTAAATTTGGTATGGTTCTGTACCTTTCGTTTTTGGTTTATTCGAGCTGGTAACTTTGGTTTGTTTGGTAAGAATACTAACTAGTCATAGAGCCGTAGAGTGTAATAGTCTTAATTAGAATACTCACAACAATAACAACAAGCCTAGTGTAAATAAAGTACTCACAAAGACAAAAATAAAAACGTTCGAAGCTAATATGACTATTGACAAAATGTTTATCTAAAACCAACAAGTATCGTATATAGAGCGAAAAAAGGTACACAAAGGAATAAATTTGATCCTTGAAAATGTCTTGTTAGTTGCTTAGAGTTAATCGTTGAACTTAGAGAATACAACAATGACTAATCCAACAATGCAACAGGAATACATGCGTAAGAAACACCCTAAAATCATAAAAAAATATTACGTTAGACTGTTTCAGAATATATAGAGTAAGAGTCAAAATCTGCTGCCTACCTTGTTCCTCTTTTTTCCTAAAGTACATGGGCTTCACTGCCAGCCTCGACATGAATGGTAAAGAAAAGTATTGTGTAGCTTAGTATGTTATAAATATATGTGTTTTGTGTGACTTAGTATATATTTCGGTATCATATCCGTATTTCGTTATTTTTTAAAGAAATACCAAACTATATCTAATACCAAATTTTTAAAAAACTTAAATCAAATATCATATCAAATAACAAAATATCGAATATCATATACTATTTTTTTTATATCGGTACGATAATTCAGTATTTACCAAATTATACGCAAGCCTCCTTGCATCTACAACTGCCAAATTCTGAATCCGGCTCTATGCGACAAAATGGCTTTCCTTGGGCTGTCGTGCTGCTATACGCTTGCACACTTAACCTTGTTTGATTGTAATTATTTCTAAACCGACTAACTCAGATCTGTATTGGGTAGGACCATTACAAGAGTAAAACACTTCCTACATAAATGTTCTTCATGTTTAAAGCGATTCTCTAATTAATAGCATGTTTGGCCAAGCTGGAGAAATCAGCTTATTTTGAGAAGTGCTTTTGAAAAAAGTACTTTTGGAGAGAATCAGTTTGTGTTTGGCTAATCAGTCTGAAAAACACTTTTGAGAAATAATTTGTGTTTGGCCAAGTTTTTTAGAAAGTGCTTTTAAGTGTCAAATTACGAATAAGAACATGAATAAATTTACTTAATAATTAATATTATAAGTAAATATATAATATCAAAATTTTGTTATTACATGCAATAATTAAAAAAAAATTCATTTTATTTAAGTAAAATATGAAAATAAAATTAAAAAGTACTTAATTCTTTTAATATAAGTTAATATATTAAAATTCCTTCAACAAATATAAAAGCATTCACCCCTAAAGTCACTATATATTAGAAAGTTTCCTAAAAATAAGAAGAAATATTTATAAATTAATATCCTAAGTATTAGGTTTAAGGGTTATTTTGGTATATATTATATTTTGTTAAGGGTATTTTAGGTAAGAAGAAAAGTCAAAACTGCTTCTGCTTTTGGAAAGAAGCTACTTTTTTCTGCTTCTCTGAAACTGCTTCTGCTTCTTCCCAAAAGCACTTTTTTTTCCCAAATAAGCTTGGCCAAACACCTCAAATTAGGAAAAAAAAGTGCTTTTGAAAAAAAAACAACATTTTTTTTCTCTTGAGAAGCTTGGCCAAACATGCTATAAGAGTAGATGAATCTTAACCATTTCATCACACCCTCAATAGACATTAGTTTTATTTCAACTATTGTATCTTATGGTGCATAGCCTTATTTGTGAGTATTTATTTGATAGGAATAAGCAAATATTTAGAAAGGGTATAAGTGATGTTTATGGTAATTTTTGGTATAGCTCAAACCATACAACATGCCTATAAATCTATTTTTTGTCAATTGAAAGAGCAAAAGAACATATAAGTAAGCTTAATTGGGAAGGACAAAGTATATGCCTCTAAAAAGAATGGAAGTGAAATTAGACTTCACTTCACTTGACAGCATTTTGATTTCATAATTAGAATTCTTTATACACTTTAAAAGAACACCGAGTGCTGAACCTCAGAGTGCCCAACAAAATCTGGGCACAAAGAATATGAAAAGATAATACAGATGATTAAAAGACACTAGAAGGTAGCAGATCAGCAAAAAACTGAGGATTAAATCCTAAAACATTACATCAAAATTACAAGTTCAGTTCAGTATGTTCAAGTCATACTCATCGGACATAGGATATTTTAAAGTCTAACACTTAACTAAAGCATAAGATAAAAGAGGTTAAAAACTATGACACATGTTACACAAGCAGATCAATCTTTCCACAAAATGCTCTCTCAGACGAAAGATTCAAGGTTGGTTCGTCTTCAAGAGACGCGCCTTATTTCTTTCAGAAGTAGCCGAACTTATATCTCCTCTGGTATCATCACAGGAAACTGAAAGAAAAGACTTGCAGTCAGTACCCAAATTTATAACCATACAAGATAACAGAACGAAAGAATTCATCCAGGCTTACGTGAAACAATTTAAATTGATGCCTAAATTCAGCACACAAACTGTACAGAAACCCAAATAGAAGACCAGCTATAATTGGAATTGCTACAAATTATTTTTTCTACCAACTAATACAACATCCAATTGATAACTGGATGAGATCGCCTTTAACAAAAGTATTTGCAACTATGAAGTTGAGCATGAAAGAAATCTGGGAAGAATATAAAGGTTTTCCCTCCATACAAGGGAGAGGCTAACAGTCTAAACTTTCGAAAGTTCAACTACGCCTCAGTCCCAAACAAGAAGGGGGCGGCTATATGAATCCCCAATGGCCATGTTTCCCCATTTGGGACTCTTCTCCCCCCAAATATTATGCAAAATAGATATAAAAAGTATTCTTCCTGTGGAAGAAAGCTGCCCTATGTAAGTTACTACTGGCTGTGGCAAAGAAGAAGGATAAGCTCTGGGTGTTGTGGATCCATAACTTCTACATAAAGGGGAAATTTTTTGGATACTATGTTTATATCTAATAAGGCAAGCAGGGTGGTGAAGAAAGTTCTAGATGGCAGAAGTTGGCTAAGCACTGGGAATTCAGTATTGGACACATTGAATACATTTACTGCTAATTCTGTTTTCAGAGTTAAAAAAGCCTATGGATCTTTCCTTCCATTATATCAGAAAGTGCCATGGAAGAATCTTACAATGGTTAAAGGATTGGTTGCTAGGCATCAGTTATCCTTTGGCTGGCTCTTCAAGGAAGGCTTTCAACTGTGGATAGATTGGGTAGATCGGGTGTCCATGTGGCTAAAGAATGCGTGTTGTGTGCTTCTGAAACATACTCATCTATTCTTTGACTGTTTTTACTCGAGGAGTATTCTTTCAAATTGGCTGGACATGAGCAGGCAAGTGGGATGCTGGAAACTGGGAAGATGAAACTAAATGGCTCATATCAGTAGTTAACAACAGTAGGCCTAAGGGTGTTGTGTTGGGGTTTCTCTTTGCTGCTACAATATATCACATCTGTATTGAGAGGAACAACCACAGATTTCAACAAAAGAGTAAAGGGAGTTCTGAGAAGATCAAAGACATAGTTTTACAGTTACATATTGTAGGGCAAATGCAATGTAAAAGGAAGAGTTTATTAGATAGGTTGAATTATTAGATAGGTTGAATAGTTTTCCTTGTGAGCTAACTGTCTTGCTGCTGGATGTGGGGACTTCACTTATATCCGATAGCACTTCGAGCGGTTATTTTGGTTAGTCTTGGTTATTTTTGTATGGTCTAGCTCTAGAGTCAAATGAGCTACCCTGTATATATTGCTACTTGGTTGAATAATTTTTTTTTTTACTCTGACCAAAAAAAATACTAGGAATTCTCTATATTTTCTACTGACATAGATCTTTGACAAGGCAAAAAGGCAAAAGCATACTTGATACTACTTAAAGTAAACGTACTAACATGACTAAAACATATTCCCAACAACATGGTCTCCCCTATATAAATTCCCTTCTTTGATTGTATTATATCTTTCGTTAAGTCAACATGAATTTCAGGAAATTGTCAACTTTTAAGAGAACTTTTTTCACGTGATTTTAGGTCTCCCTCATCCCTTTATAACACCTTCACTCACCATAGCTTCCCACCTATGATCCGGTACATCTTTAGGTCAATGCAAGACATTACCAAACCATCTCAAGAGATGTTCTCTCATTTATTCTCAATGTATGTTACTTGCACCTTCTAGTGAATGTGGTAATTTTTAATCTAGAGTTCAATGCAAAGAAATCAAGTAAAGGGTCTTTTGTTCTACAATTAAACCGTAAAACATGAGTCTTGTTGGAGCTAGAAAGCGGAAAAAAGATATATATATTCTTTATTGGTAGACAAATAGATAATTTTAACACATCAAAATCTCGATGGATGCTTGTCAAAAGGTCACATGACAATCATACTCAAATGCTGTTATAATGATTAACCACACATAAATCAGCTCCACTATTATCAAATAGTAACTGAATTGTGCAAACAAAAGAGAAAGCTCTGCTGACTTATTTTTGGAAATGATAAGCTACCGCCTTGTTTTCAGAATGCAAAATAACATAAATTTCCTATAAAAGTAGCATATATTCAATATTATGCAATATAATCCTTAGAGACAAGTTTCTATTGTATATGTATTTATTTATGAGGTAAGTTCTAAGAATAAGGCTCCTATTAGTGATCAGTATGAATGGACTAAAGGCTTGACTACCATGCACAACTTTTGAACTAAATGAGATATTTGTATTCTATAACTATCCACTGCAACTACACCTAACGGAACAGCTTTATACCTTTTTAGTGCATAACCATCATCATTTTGGTAGAAGAAATTAAAGCTCACAGATATGGCATCTAATTAGCAGTAGCAGACACCTAATACACTCAGAAAAGAGAACAATAATGGTTATCATTCTGAGACAGATTTTCTACACTGAATATCCTCCTTCAAAGGGGGAAGAGATAGTAAACAAATATAGAACTATCTACCAAAAGCATTAATTGAAAAGAAAGGGCGAAATCTTGAACTTACATCGTCTTAATGATTAGTGACAATGCTCCTTGCAAAAGGAATACTGAGAGAAAAACAGCCAAAGTTATCCTAGAAAAATGCAGTAGGCCAGCAGATTAATCAGTGGTCAGACGACGCCTCTTTTCATAATCTAGATCCCGTGATCTTGACCGTGAATCATCTTCTTGCGGTAACCGTGATTTGGTGTGTCTCCTTGATGATCTTCCCCTGTCCCATTCATCATCATATTCTTGCTCACGGTCCTTGTACCTATGATGATCACCATATCTATCTCTATCATCCCTATGACGGTCACGCTCCCGTCCACTACCTCGATCCTTCTCAAGGTCACGGTCACGATCTCTAGAGCGTGTGCGACTGTGGTCACGATCCCTCTCTCTCACACTCTCTCGTCCAACGTCTCTATCATCTTGGTGTCGCCTCTCCTCTTGCCAATCATCATCATGCCCTGTATTCTTATCTCTAGCCTTATCTCTTTCATAAGAAGGTTCTCTATCATCTCTATGTCTTCTGTCTGAAGAACCAGACCAATTTCGTTCTGAGCCTCTATCTTTTTCTTTGTTACTAGGCCAAGCCCCTCTATCACGGCTTTCTTCTCCATACTGATGATCAGATACAGCTTCTTCCCCATAACTCGACTCTCCCGCTCTGTAGCCATGCTCGTCTCTCGCCCATCCACCACCCATGTTAGGCTCAGACCACATACCCATGTTAGGCCCCTCCATACCAGCACGAGGCATCATTCCCATACCATTCATTGGCATTCCTCTCCCAAAGAATGCAGGATTTACATGAGGAGCTACACCAGGCAAACCAACACCTCCTCCAACTGGTGGAAATGACGGCAACATACCCGAAAATGGTGGATTTGGAGCACCAGGAAATCCTCCATAACCACCCATTCTCCCCATAGGTCCTCCAAAAGCAGGATCAAAGCCTTGACCCATCATTGTTTGAGGATGCATCAGCGGAGGTCCAGCACCCATACCTTGTCCAAATCCGCTCCCACCATTTCCCATAAACCCCCTTCCTACAACGCCACCACCAGGCCTATTTCTCATAGGACCAACGGGACCCCTATTCCCCATCCCCTGAGGACCTCCTCTGCCCCAATTTCCTCTCCCAAAATTCCTGTTATTATCCCCACCACCTTGAAAATTACCACCTGTAGCATTGTTGTTGTTAAGACCAGTTTTAACAGCTGTATCGCCAGGGGCCCGTCTCGCCTGTGAATTCACAGGAGCAGCCTGAGCCGTCTGCTGATTTCGATTCATCTGAGCCTCACCCATTCTCTTCACAGTGAATGGCGAAGCAAAGGCGACCACACAGGCCCGCCCATTGAACACATGTCCATTCATCCCTTCTTTACAAGCTGTGGCGGCTGCAGGCTCATGAAACTCAGCCTGGCAATAACCTTTCGACTTCCCACTAGCTTTTTCGTCGAAAAATTTAACCTCCTTCACAGTTCCATACTTGCTTAACTCTGCCTCCAGCTCAGCATCTGTTGTCCACCAATGCAGATCACCAACAAATAGAACCGTCCCTCCACCTCCGCCTCCTCCTCCACCCAAAACCCCTACACTGGCAACATTGTTACCCGCAGAATTCCCATTCACCATTTCGTGCCTAACCAAATTATCATTCCCAGAATTACCAACATTGCCTAAACCACCCACACCAGCAGCATTAGGACGTTGAATTACCCCTCGATTCACAACATTATCGCCCCCATTCTGCTCTAAATCAGCTACCTTACCCGACGGATCACAAGACTCAACCTTTACCGGATCACAAGACTCGACCTTTACCGGATCTCTACCTCCCAACTCATTCTCTCTAAACCCTAAATCCCTAAACCAGTCAGCTCCATCCAAAACCCTAGACACTACATTCTCTTCTTTCTCAACTTTCACCTCTCCAACTGCAACTGACAGAGCGGCACGGCTACTCTCCGGCAGTGGAGCAACAAGCTCAGCCTCCTTCTTAAACCCTAAATCTTCATTCTTACGAACTGACTGAAGAAAATTTTCACCAACATTAACGTCGTTATAAAGATCCTCATAATCATCATCTTCTTCGTCAACAAGAAACCCATCATCCGCAACAGCGGAGATAGTTTCATTCCTGTGGAACTCCTCCATCGGAGCCCCGACCCGATTCCCAAACCCGTCCCCTTCGGCAGCTTCATTCTCGTCCATGGCCTCTACAAAAACGGACTTAGGGTTAGGGTTAGGGTTAGGGTTAGGCTTACTGATTCCAACCCCAGAAGCTGGAATTTGTAATTGAAATAACTGAAACACTTGATTTCTTTTTCTTTTTGAAGATAACAAGAATTATTACAAGAAAAAAATGGTAGCTTGGTTGAATTTTAATGGCAGAACTGTTCTACTTCAAATTAGAGCAGGGTCACACTTACTGCGGGAAAATATTGGTAACTGTACGCACTTTTATTTTAGAATAATACTTCTGTTTTGGAATAATATTTTGGCAATTTATAGGCGGATGTAGTACATAAATTATAAGTTTATTGGTCTATGGGGTAAAGGTCTTATTGGCGAATGACGGTGTGACATGTGGTCATCACACAGTTTTCACCGAATGCAAGCAGCGAGCTCCTGGAGACAAAACAATCCATAGCAAAGATTTGCATTCTTGTCATCGAGTAATATTTGTTGGGCAGACGTTACAGAAAATATTTGCATTTATAGCCAGTAATTATGTACCAGCAATGACAATGTTGTTCTCATTCAAGAGGAGTTTGATTTTTGGATCTTGTCCCTCTATATACTATTGTAGACATGAAACATTCTGCATACAAAAGCTACCGTCTATTATCTTGTTACGCTCAATTTGAACAAGTTAAACAATTGCTTTTACTGTTGTCTTCAGAAAGGTAAATGTAACGACCCGACGGGTCGTTTTGAGGATTAGCATCCCGTTCGGCGGCTTAAAGTCTCGAGCAGCTTCGTGTTATGTATTACGACTTGCGTGTATGGTCGAGTTCGGTTTTTGATGATTCGATATCAATTTGGAGGAATAATTCTTGTTGGAAGTTTAAGCGGTAAGAGTTGACCGGAGTTTGATTTTTGTGCAGACGACTCTGGAATGGTGTTCTGATGATTCCGATAGCTTCGTATGGTGATTTTGGACTCAGACGTGTGTCCGGATTTGGATTTTTGGAAGCCCGTAGGATAATTTGATGCATTTTGGTGAAAATTGGAAAGTTGAAGTTTTGGAAGGTTGTGAGGTTTGACCGGGAGTTGATTTTGTTGATATCGGGTTCGAATTTCAACTCCGAAAATTGAAGTAGGTCCATTATGTCATTTATGACTTGTGTGCAAATTTTGAGGTCAATCGAAATTGATTTGATATGTTCCGGCACGAGTTCTGGAAGTTGGAAGATTTAAAAATACATAAGTTTGATTTGAGATGTGATTCGTAATTTTGACGTTATGTAATGTAATTTAAGGCCTCGAGTAGATCCGCGTGATGATATTGAACTTGTTGGTATGTTTCGACGGGATCCTAAGTGGCTCGAATGAGCTTCGAATCATTTTTGGTCATGTTGGCAGTTCTGGTGTTGGTTCTTCACACCTGCACACAAATTTGGAATGCGAGGAATGCTTTGCTTCTGCGAAAGGGGAGGTGCTGTGGCGAGTACCGCTTCTGCGGAGGAAGATGCACTGATGCGCAAGCACTCCTGCGAAGTTTTGGTCACTTCTCCGAGCTTGGGGTGCGAATTGACCGTCCGCTTCTGCGGTGTTATGGTCGCTTTTGCGATATCGCAGATCTGAGAAAATGTCTCGCATGTGCACAAACTGGGCAGGCAAGTGAAGTCCGCAAATGCGATGCTTTGGCTCACAAATGCGAGCTCGCAGGCGCGCATATTTGTTCACAAATGCGATTCTGGGCAGAATGTTAAGGATCGGAAATTGGTCATTTTCTTCATTTCGTTTTGGAGTTTGAAGCTCGGGTTTTGGGCAATTCTGGAGGAGTTCTTCACGAGTTTGATTTGGATAAGTGTTCTATATCCGAAATTGATTATATTTCTTGATTCCATGATTATTTTCATCATTTATTAGTGAATTGAATGGAAGAAATTGAGAAAATTGTAAAATCTTTCAAAAAAGAAAAATGAAGATTTGGAGGGCGATTTGTTATCGGAATTTGATAATTTCGGTATAGTTGGACTCATATCGGAATGGATCTTTGGATTTTGTGAATTTTTGTTGGGTCCCGAGGTGCGGACCCCGGGTTGACTTTTTAGTGTAAAATTAAAAGTCGAAATTTTATTATTCGAAAATAATACCTATGAGTTTTATGGATGTTAGGAAATTATTTTGGCTAGATTAGAGCTGTCCGGAGGTCGTTTTACTCGCGAGGGAAATTTTAAAGTATCGGATTAGCTTCGCCAATGTAAGTATCTTGCCTAACCTTGTGGGGAAAAATTACCCCTTAGGCATTGAGTCGTATGTGCAATTTGTCTAAATGTGAAAGGGTTATTTGTATATATACCCATTTTTGGGTCACGTTTTAACTTATACCCGCTTTGCAAAAAAAATTGCAAGCGTACCCACTTTTAGCGTAACTTTAGGAATACGGACCTAAAGTACCAAAGACAATCACGCAAACTTCAGCATTCTAGTAGACGAGCCTGAAGTAGCATAAATTGCTGAACCAAGTGTTGGCTGAAGTTTTTGTTTGTAATTGCTGAACTTGAGCATTCTAGTAGCTGGAGTTTTGTTCTCTATTTGCTGAAGTTTTTATTTGTAATTGCTGAACTTAAGCATTCTAGTAGCTAAAGTTTTGTTCTCTATTTGCTGAAGTTTTTATTTGTAATTGCTGAACTTAAGCATTCTAGTAGCTAAAGTTTTGTTCTCTATTTGCTGAACTTCAGCATGTTTTAGCTGAAGTTTTGTTCTATATTTGCTGAACTTCAGCATTTTTTAGCTAAAGCTTTGTTATGTTTGTGATAAACTTTAGGGCTGAAGTTTTTTTGTATTTGCTGAACTTCAGCATTCTAGGAGCTGGAGTTTTTGTTTATATTTGCTGAACTTCAGCATTCTTAACTTTTGCTGCTTATAACCAAAAGTTAAGAATATGAGATTGCAAAAATGGAAGAAGAGTTGAAAACAAAGACTGAGCTTATAACCAAGCAGAAGAGACTGATTCAAAATTGGAGGAAGAAGTTGAAGGACCAATTAGACAAACACAACATTGAGTTGGAAAGGGTGTAAACTACGAAGGAATTTCTTCTTTTGCGAGGTCCATAATTGTTTTTTCTCTTGCTATCATCCCTTAGCTTTTTTGTATTGAAGGTGCTTGAAGACAACGGGCTCACTACAAAGATGATTTGTGGCTAGCTTTCTGTATTTATTTGTTTGGAAGTTATTAGGTTGGTCGAAGTACATAAGCAGCAAACGTTAATATTCAGCAGAAAGTTCATCCCTATGAACTGAACCTTCGTAGCAGCACCAACACCAACAGAAGAACGAAGAAGAAAACAAAGGAGGAGAAGGAGATGGAGAAAGAGGGTTGAAGTTGTTTAAAAAGTGGTTACAAGTTAAAACTTTTTAAAAAAATGGATATAGGTTAAATGGGGGCAACCAAATAGGGCGCCCCGTGTAATTTTTACAATGTGAAAGCCGTGTACATGAAATGACGAGTATGTACTCGGACTTATATGTGAAAATTCTATCGGTTTAAACACTTAGACATCTTTTATGTATTTAATTGGAAACCATTAGCACATGTTATGTTTTTCATTCGCCATGTTCAACATTACATGCTTTATTGAAAATTGTTGTTATATGTCACTTTCTTTACTTACCGAGTTTGTTTTATATGCTTATTTGGACATGTTACTACTTTAACCTTTACGTGAATTCTGTGATTTGTTGAGTTGCCACTTTATGAAAGGTATTTTCATTATTGATTTTTTTCCTTAATTAATTAATTGGAATTGAATAATCAAGAGGCAATGATTTATTTTACCTGAAGTTATGTTTAAAAGAGATGTTGTTGTTATTGAGATCTTTATATACGTTGTGTTGAGCCGTGGGCTATTTGTTGTGAAATTATTTGATATCATTGAACCTTTGGAAAGGTTGGGGCCTACAGGCATTTGTGATACGAGTGGATTATGTTGTCTTGTTGTGATAATAGCACTTATAAATTATTGTGTGGTTTGATTGTTGTTATGTGGAGTATAAGTGTGGCATTTCACCATTGTTGTTATGTGGAGTATAAGGGTGACATTTTACCGTTGTTGTTATACGGGGCATAAGGGTGGCATCTCACTGTTGTTAAATATACTAAGTGATAAGGGTGGCTATTATAAGGAGTGATACGAGAGGCTATAGGAGCGATAAAGGCGGATATTGATATTGTTAGGGCGGAGTGATATGGGTGGCTATGGAGAGATAATGATGGCTATTGATATTGTCAGGGCGATGTGATACGAGTGGCTATATGAGAGATACGAATGGCTATAGGAGAGATAAGGGAGAGATAAGGGTGGCTAATGATATTGTCATGACGGAGTGATACAGATAGTTATAAGAGAGACAAGGGTAGCAATGTCAGGAATGATGTGTGATGATATGGGGGCATTGTGTTGATGATTTTTATGTGATGTTGTGATTTTACTTGTGTTTGGTCATACGCGGTGCGTGATCTATTGTTGTTTCGATGAACTGTTCAATATCCTTAATATTACTTGTTGATTTGAGCTGCAGTAGTACACTTGCACAAGCATACACTATAGTATGTTATGTATACTAGCTCATGAGTACAAAACTTGACATTTATTGATTATGTCCATGTATTCTAGTATTATCCGTTTTATATACTATTGAGCCTGTAATCATGTCTGTGTGGATTGTGATTTAAGATATGGGCATGAGGTTCTGTGAGTATATGATGATTATGTTATTGGCACGTGAGTTATCCGTACAATACGTGAGTTATCTGTGCGGATCCATATATTGATATTGTTGGCACGTGAGTTGTCCGTGCGATTGTGATTTGAGATGTGGGCACGAGGTGTCGTGACTATATGATGGTGGGTTGAGACCCGTGATCTGTGACTATGAGATGAGGTGCCACATAGTGACTTTGGTGTGAAAACTTGTGTTAGAAGACTTGATTAATTGGTTGTCCTTGTGTTCCTTATTTGGTTTGATCGGTACTTTACAGTATTATTACTGCTTTACTGTTTATATTACTGGTTGTTTCTTGTTTCCATTTACTGCTCCCTGTTTTCCATTATTATCGTTATACTGTTATAATGCACATGTTATTTTGAGTTTTGACAGTGAGTGTCTTGATTGTACCTCGTCACTATTCCACCGAGGTTAGTCTTGATACTTATTGGGTGCCGACCATGATGTGCTCATACTATACTTCTGTACATTTTTATGCAGAGTCAGGTATTGGAGGTATCGGACTCGGGCAGAGTTAG